TATCACATGTTGTCACATGGTAAAATATGATACCATTTGATGTCATATTTTTTTCTAGCATCATGACTAAAAACCAGTTTGCTCCGAAGTCCTAATTCACAAAGTGTATTTATTGTACCAAGACTTGGAGCATATTTCTTACACAATCAAATGATATTGTTCACTGAGGAAAAACCTAGAGTCTGGTGCTGGAATATATCATTTTTCTATTTTTTCCTCTTTCCTTTATGAAGTTATGATTCCGTATGTACACGGTGCCTTGATTTGTTTAAGGTATGTGGATTCAAGGTTGCTTTGCAAATTTCATGTCTGCATTATGCACGTTTTAATGAAGAACGAACTGTGAGTCCCAGGGAAAACACCAGCTCGGTCTTGTCGCAGGTCCAGATGTGCACCTGGTTCTTTATTATGTCTCACACAGAAAGCTGGTGAATAGCTTTCCAAAGGCTCTGTGTTAACAGATCAAGTTACAGTACGATGTACATGCGAAGAGTAGAATTGTGATTATGGTAATGTGGCAAAATAGCTTAAAATTGGAAAATACACCAGGAGTCTCAGTGCTGAAATGTGCACATTGTGTTTCTCTCTAATTTGCCGTTGTCTTGGATCCTGGCTGCAGACACAGTGATTTCACCTTCTGCTGCTCGTGGAAGTGCCAACTTCTCTCCCAAAGGTGTTCGGTGACTAATGCTTTGGTTACACGCCAGAATATTTTATAAACGTCTATTTCTAGGCAGCTCTTCCACAAGTCTTAATTAAACTTTAATGTCAAGCTGAAGTTTACTTTTAGAACCTCTTAGGCTCCGTGGGTTGTAACTTGATTAGAGAACAATAAGGGGATGTAGGATAACTGTGTTTCAGTGCATTTTCTCGCTCCTGCTTAACAAGTGCCACCAGCCAGACATAGAGGGACTTAACAGTTTAGGACACGGGACTGAGTAAGTCACCACCGTTCCCCTCAGGCTGAGCCAGCACACCATCACTCAGTTGAGCTCCTCCACGCGGAAATGATAGCCAAGGTTTGAAATCACCGTTCTTTTCTTACATTTTCTTCTAGCAACATCTAACTCCACAAAGCTAGGAACCAGTAGCTAGAAATGGTACTCACAGCAGGGTTCCTCGTTTCTTTCTCTTTCATTGTTTGGAGCTCTAGGGAGGACTTAAATCTTAAGAGTAGGATGCTGTCTCAAGATAAAAACTGAAAAGAGCTGGAGATGTAGCTCAGGGCAAAGGCTTTAGATTCAAATCTCAGTCCGAACACCAAAAAAGACTGGGCGACCACTTTCTCTAGTGCTGTCTGCTTCTGACGGTAAATGAATACCTCCCCTGCTATCTGAAATGATGAAGCCTCTATTGTCAAAATCATAGAGTAAGTTTTAATAAAACACGACAATATTACATTGTATGTTGATTTGGAACCCTTCCTCATCAATCAGCTTGTTGTATAGCGGGAACCATCCCAACCTAACTTTTTCTGTGAAGAGACAGGAAATAGTTTTGCCTTTCTAGGACAAATCTCAGTTTGAGTTACTTAACTCTGCCATTCAATGTTAAAATTGAACGTGGCTGTGTACCACTGAAACTTTTATAAAAAGTAGTAGAGGTTTGAATTTGACCCTTTGGCAGTAGTATGTAGACCCCTGTTGTATGATATGCTTACTTTTTATGTGGAAATTATGCAGCCTGTATTTTTTGTAATGTGAAAGTAGTTTCTCATATTTCTTTTATTGTTTATATCTAGCTTGTTAGTATAACAAGCTAGTTGTGAAAGTAAACCAAGTTTCGGAGATTTTTAAAGAATTAATTCTTTCAATTGCTGGAAATTGCTGAAATCTCCATTGATAATTGGATGGATTTATACAGTGTGGCAGGTAAGATGGCATATATACACCAATGAACATCAGCAGCTTAAAATAATAAATACCGCTATAGGTTAATCTCACAAACAAAATTTTGAGTAACAGAAGCCACACACAAAAGAGCAAATACATGGAAGGAGGAATATATATACTAAGATCCCATTTATATAAAATGTAAAACTAGGCAAAACCAGTCTAGTATTACTAATGAATTTTAATTGGCCAGAGCAATAACTGGAGGGAAATGTGTTTGGATTTTTCTCAATCTGGGTGCTAGCTTCACACATGTATTCAGTTTCTAAAAAAGTACTGAGCTGTACACTTAGAAAATGTGCTTTTCTTTACATATATGTTTTGGTAAATAGGTTTCAAGGTGGGAAAAATCAGAAAAAGGAAAAGAACTTTTAACTGAATTGTCCAATTTCTAAGAGGTATTAAAGTTAGAATATTGGGGGAAAGTATCTCAATTTAGAATCTTGTTTACACATTTTGAGGTTCATGAGAATTAGTAATTCTGAACAATGGCATTCCCTTTCTTTCTGGTATTGATTTTGTTCTCATGGAATGATGACGTTAATGTGGTTATTTCAGTAGGTGTGTTGCCACTGAAATGTTAGGTTGTGGGGTGGGTGTGGATCACATGCAGCTGGTCATGCTCAACATTTATCTTAGTGAAACACGCGAAATTGTGAAATTTTACAGAACAAAAGATATGACTCTCCAGCTATAATTTGATGTTTATATTGACAATTTCATAAATTTTAAAGATCGATACCTTATCTGGTACTTATCTGATTTTTACATGTTCCTTGAGCATAACCCAAACCTGTTTCATACATGCACACATACTGTGTGTGTACGCGACTCTGAGAAAACAGTCACTATTGTAGTCCAGCACCTGCCCTTTCAGACACCAGTCTAGTGATTAGACAAACCAGGGAGGGATTAAAAATTTTGAAAACACTGCATTATAGAAGCATCCAGTGTGCCCACAAGAAGGGGAGGCCACCCACTCTTCTGGTTGGAGAGGAAGCTGGTGTGCAGGAGGTTACCAAAGAGTTTTGGCTGGGAGAAGATCTAAGTGTTACTGATGTTCAAACTGAAGCTTATCAAGTTTGCCAATGCTCACAGAGGTGGTGTTAGGGGCAGAGCAAGTGCAGACATAGCACATCTTGGCGCTACTTGCCCTTGCTTGTAGGGCTGAAGCGCAGGGTGATCTGTGCAGTGGAAGTGAAGCAGGGCCAGCTCCCAAAGGCCTCAGATGTCATGCTAAGAACTTGGAGCTCTTCTCTGGGAGGCACTGGAAGCCACTACACAGGCATGTGGCACTGTCCAGATCGCTTTGCTTTGTTGGAAATGACCTGGCGGTGTGCTGATTGGATTGGGAGAGAGGAGGCTTTGGAAAAGTCAGTTTATGGATTCAATCTACTTTAACTCTGGCTCAATCATGAACTTGTCAGACTTTATTTTTAAAAAGATCTCCTTTGGAGCAGCCAACCTAAATAATCAGTATAATAGAAAAACAAAACAGAATAAGCTTTACTACTCCCAGGCAAAAGTGCTTCCCTTCCCTGGTTCCCAGAGCCTTCCATTCATAAGTCTTTCCCATATGTTCATATTTCTTAATATTTATTTACACATATTTCTTTGACTGCATCAGATCCACATGAGAGTCAAGAGTGTTTATGTCTGTACTAGGGAGCAACAGATATAATGCCTGACTTATTGTATAAGAACTTCACTTATAGGCATTCACAAACCTTCAAGCCATGCTTAAAAGCACAAATTGTGAGATATTGTACTTAAACTGTTCCTTTATCTTTAATAAATGTACAAATAACTATGAAATGCCTATTCTGTATTTCCATGAATAGTTTATTCAAACATTAATCTATATGCATGTTTATCAGCATCACACAATTTAAACATCATAGAGGACACCTTCAAAGAGCTAAAATGCTGTGTTATTATCTGTTATTATTGTAACAGTCTGATTATTTACTCTGGGTCAAATCCACCTCTAATTTGAACTAATTTTTCTAATTTTTAAATTACTAGATGTCCCAGGCTTATTGTCTTTGTGGAAAGTTTAGAAAATCATAACATAGTCTAACTGAAAGTTTTCTTTAGCATTCGACTATTCTAACATTCTCACTAGGGGAAAAAATGGGCTGTGTAGAAATGTGCAGTTGCTTTGAGGTTTTAGAATATTCTAGCTATCGTCTTTGGATAAATTCCTTCAGCCTTAAAACACTCTGACGATTTCATGGACTGTACATAACCCAAATCAGCACTGAATGGTAATTAACTCTTGCTGTCTATCTCTTATCAGATAGAGAGGGTAGCCCCAATCTAGAAATGCTGGATGACCCTCATCCCAAAGAACTGGTGGAAGTCCCAGGGTTGGAACTTACCTCTCTGGATTCGTGATCATTTTCCCTTTGGAGTTCAGAGGATGGTGAAGAATTTCTGCAATTCTATTTTTAATTTGCCCTAGTTATTGGTACAAGTGATCAACTCGTCTGCCTCAGAAATTAGTTGCAGTACAACAGATTTAAGGGGCTGGGGATTTAGCTTAGTGGCACAATGCCTGCCTGGCAAGCACAAGGTTGTGAGTTTGATTCCTGTACCTGAAAAAAACCAAGCCACCCGCTTGCTGGGCATAGTGGTTATGACCCATGCCTTCCTCACATCTACCCAAACATTCCCTCTATTTTCTCATTGTCCTTTTCTCCCATTTCTCCGCTCCTTATTTTATCCTTTGGTTTGGGCAGCAGCTAGACTATTTTGGGCTGAACCAAAAAAAAAAAAAAAAAAGGAAAAATGCTTTGCCTTTAGAAACACTGCATAATCCTAAGGAAAATGTTAAAATTATAGAAACAGTAAAAAAGAAAGACAGACCAATTCATTAAAGCCAATTAAAAAACAAACAATTCTTTAGCGATAGCTCACTGAATTTATTCAAAACAAAATAGCTGAATGAATATGAAAAACTGGGTTCTTTTAATATACATATAAATCTGCTTGCATGAGGGTCATTCCATGTTTTTCTAAATTAATATTTTAGTGCAACTTAAATATTACACATATGGAGATGGAATTTTTATTTTCTAAATAAGGACCTAATTACTTAATTTTTAGGCCATATGAAAATAAAACCTATCTTGCGGTGGGGAGCATGAAGACACTGATGTTGAATGTGTCCTTGTTTAATGCTGGGGATGATGCCTATGAGACAGCTCTGCACGTCAGACTCCCCGCGGGTCTTTACTTCATTAAGATTTTAGACCTGGTGAGTACTGCAAACCACAGTAGCAAGGCACAACTTAGCGACTTACTTAATTTTATTAAAATGTTAAGTGGATTTGGGATGTAAGTAATTGTAGCATAAGTCTTAATATTTAGACTTATGACTCAGGCTCCTAGCTATTTTAAGACTTCCTCCATGCCCCTGCTCAGAAAGGCAGTTTCCTTGAGCTCTTAAATCCAAAGGCAGCTGCTTCCAGTGCTAAAAGAGAGTCGCTCGGATGCCACCACTGCTTTACTGCCACAGCACGTAAGGTGCCATGACAATGCCTCTCTTGGTTGATCCCCTGTGCCAGGCACCCAGAGTACAGTGTTCATTTTAAGTTCACCCTGTGAGCCTTCTTCCCGAAGGACTTTCAGTACATCAAAAGCAGCAGTCCTCTATTGATTTGGAAATCCTGGTGTCAAGCCAAGTCTTAAGCAAGTTCTCCTTTTCCCAGAGAGTTGAGAGCATGTGGAAATTTTTTTCTTACCAATATGCCTCAGTCATGGAGCCATCAGTTAGATAGTAATGTTAGAATTTCAGGGACAAAAGCCTCAATGACTTTCTCCTTTGAGAATTCTCTGGCACTCAGTAAATTCAACTACATCTTGCCTGGGGTCTACCTCTTTACAACAAAGGGTGTTCAGAGAGGACTCTTAACATCACACAAAGATGTATTAACACATTTCCCTAGAGTACTAGGAGTCGGTTTTAAAGAAAAGAGGAGAAGCTCCAGCATTTGTGCAATATATTTTTAAAATATATCCATTGGTATTACTGTAACTAAATATCTCGAATGCACTTTCAATGAAAGTGTACAGGATACAATGAAATACACATTTTATGGATCGCTTGCATCCTGATGTTTCAAGGACTGAGAAATCAGGTTAAGGAGGGGGATATGCCAAAGTGAATAAAAGCCACAAGGCTGCGAATGTTTTAAGGGAGATTTTATGTGAATATTATGATAGATACACACATATTTGCATGGTTTGCATTTCTACTTTTTTCTTTCATACTGGGAATCGAACTCAGGACCCTATGCTTGCCAGGCAGATGCTTGTGCTGCTGAGCTATATCCCCAGCACATTTCTACTTGCTTATTTCTAAAGCAAACAGAAAATTATGAGAAAAGTAAATACTTCTAGGATCACTTTCTTTTCAAAATCATCCCTAAACGTATGTTATAAATTCCTTATTCCCTTCCTCCCCAACCAGTTTCATTTTTCCTTTTAGGAAGAGAAACAAATAAACTGTGAAGTAACAGACAACGCTGGCACAGTCAAACTCGACTGCATCCTTGGTTATATTTATGTAGATCATCTCTCCAGGGTAAGCGCTTAGCATTTACGATTCTCAGTTACTAGCAGGAATATATTTTTCTCCCCACTCCATCTTTACGCTGCACATAACATATATTTTTTACTTAGAGCAATGCAGTAATGGCAAAATGAACCGAGCCTGAAATCCTTGAGCTCTGCGTTTATATTCTTGGCAGTGTTCACTGTTTAGAAAGGGGGGTGCGCATGCTCCTGTCGAGGTGGGCAAGTGAATGTGTCAATCAGAATTCTGCCCCCCCCATCCTATCCAACACTCCCCCCACCCCACCCCAGGTGGCCCTGTCTGCCAGGCATGTTACCTCTGCTACACAAAAAAGGTGTTTTTGGCAAGAGTCCCCACTCAAGTTGTTAAAGCATTTCTAATTTTGTCCGTCTGGACCTGCCTGTCTTTACATTCAGAGTAGGCTTTGTCTCTGAACGCTACTTGTAGAAAAGCTTGCACTTTAAAATTGCATCTTACTGCCAAGGAAGGGGTTGCTTATGCCTCCAGAACAGTTTTAAGTACATAGTCCATCAAAAATAAATTATGAAGAAAAGCTAAAATTCAGATGGCAAAAAATGTGTTTAAGGTTTTTTTTTGTTTTGTTTTAAGTGGGCCTTTTCTGTTTTGCAGGTAGATGTCAGCTTTCTCTTGGATGTGAGCTCATTCCGCAGAGCAGAAGAGGACCTCAACATCACAGTTTTTGCCTCCTGGTACAATTTATTAGGAACAACAAATTATCCTAGAGGAACTGCAGCCCTCAATTTTGAGGGAGGCTTTTGAGAAACCACGGAGCTGTGTTGCATTGATGTCTGTAGGGGAAACCCTTCCTTACCTGGTCTATTTAAAATCCAACAAAAAACCGTCTAACATTCTAAGTAAATAACTGCTTAAATGATGGCAAATATTTCCCCACTTTGCCCTAAGAATATGTCTACTACCACATCTTTTATCCCTACTCCTCCAAAAGCATTCGTTAAAATGAGATCTCAGCATTCTTTTAGGTATACAGAGAATGAAATCATTTTTCCCAAAGATGAGTTTGTGCTTCCTGGATCCTAAGAGTATATTCTGTTTCTGTAGTGAAAATGAAGGAGAAATGGACAAGCTAACAGACAACAAAGTGACCTTAGCAGTACCTCTAAGATATGAGGTTATGCTAGCTGTTCATGGGTAAGTAGATATGGAGGCCTCGAAACTTTAGAGTTGATTTTCAGCTCCATTGCTGCTGATTCTGTTAATGAATCATACTTAAACATTAAAACATTAGAAGGATGCTTTGTCTCTTAGCGGTTACCTCAGTGCTACAGTTCCTTGCTTAGCTGTTATTTTAATCCACTCTGTAATCAGCACTGATGCTACATCAAACTCATGCCCAGCTGGTGGAGATTTCTCACTGGAACAGCCCCAGTAAGCCTCTAGCAGGGCACAGTGAGCCTTTCAGTTGTCCGCTGCAGGGCAGGGCTGCCCAGAGTTTAGTGTATAGTTTGCATAATCACATCCCTGGCAAGGGTGAGTATGAACGTCACCAAACTGCCACTCCCCAAAATCCACAGCGACCTATGTGGCCAGTGAATGGAGACATGAGAGAACCGGCCTCAAGGTGTCCCTTGTCACTCTTTAAATCTCTGGAATCATAGAGTCCTGTGATCACAGCCCTTATGCCAGCTTTCATTGCTTCGTCATTTTAGCAATTGCTGAGTGCATTCCCTTCTGATTCAAGTAGTGTGGAGAAAGTGAAAGGAGGACCAAGGAACGCTCTCATGATTTCACTGGCAACTATTCAGCCTCCTGCTCTTTAAAACTACAACTTTTAAAGCACCGCAAAATAGACAAAAGAGCGTTCCTTGTTGCCCTAAATATCACTGTCACCCCTCATAAAGAGGGCATACAGGTATAGTGTATCCTCCTAAAATGTCCATATCTAAACCTGATGGAATTGTCAAGTTTGAGATAGAGGCCATTTACTGGAACGACCTTAAGGGTCAGTGGATAAGCAAATGAAAGGTGACTGCATGTTTCCTGGCTTTGAGAATTTATATCACCTCTCATTCTTTAATTTTCTTAGGATGAGTACTCTGTTTTTCCATTTTCACATCTCATTACTTTGAGCAAGAAATGTCCTACAATTATTAAACTACAAAAGATTACATACGCCATTTGATTGTTTCTGATTTCTTTTTTTTTTTTTTTTTTTTGGTTTTTCTCCGGTACCGGGAATTGAACTCATGACCTTGCACTTGCCAGGCAGGCGCTGTGCCGCTGCGCTAAATCCCCAGGCCTTGTTTCTGATTTCTTTCCTGATTAATGGGACCCTAAAATATGATATTACCTAATGTAATTTACCTGCCAAAACTGAACAGTTTGTGGAGTAGGACTTCCTGAGTGTATCTCCTGGAAATACACTGCTGACCATACATGTATCAAATCGGGTGAAAAAGAATGCCAACCTTGTATTCCAATAAAAAGTTGATGACACCCGTCAGTGTGTGACTTCTTCCCCAGACTTGGGATTCATTATACATAGCCAGCAAGAATTGGGGGTAAAAAATAACTGCAAAGTAGGTTAGATTTAGGTGTCGGAGCCCCCAGGGAAAGCTAAGGACATACCTCATAGTTGCAAAATATGTATGAATCATTTGGGTGCTGACAGAGCAAGAATGGTCAACACAGTGAAGCAGGCAGGCTTGGGAAGGTTAAAAAAATACCGTGAAGAATAAAACATTGTCACTCAGTTCAAAGCACATGGCCTCATAATTTTCTTACTTGGTCGAATAAGAACCCAGGGAGAGTACCCTGTGTAACTCTTAAATATGCTGTAATGTGTGTGCAGAGAGAGCTTGTAATAGCTTTTCAGAGAATACAGTTTCCTTTTGATTTTCTTTCTTTCAGGTTTGTGAATCCAACTTCATTCATGTATGGATCCAGCGAGGACAGTGAACCCGAAACATGCATGACCGAGAAAATGAACTTCACTTTTCATGTAAGAAAAACTGATTGCGTCTGTTCTGTAGGAAGTGGAAGGGTCTTACTGATGGACTGCTCCCCTCCCTCTGAAGTGCCCTGGCCCCAGGAACCATGGCTTGCTGTAGGAGCGGCTGCAATCAGACTTAGATGGTGGCTTTCTTCCCATTTTTCTACTTTTAAAATAGTACTACAAAACTATTTTAAAAGTACTACTTTTAAAATTAGTACATGGTTGCCATACATAATGATTACATTCATTGTAGGGAATTGTCACGCATACATAACAGGTCTTTTTACTTCCCTTTCCCCTCCTTACCCTCCCTAGTGCCTCCTTTTCCCATTTGCAAAAGAGCTATCAAACCCACATCTCCTTACAGGACAGTTAACACACTGAGCGGTCATGCCTGCAACACGCAGTTATGGGGTGAGCTGACCCCAGCGGAGACACATATACGGGATGACAGGCCCAGGGAAGGCAGCAGTGGATCTCTTCTTAGTTCAAGCTTTACAACAGCCCTAACGTTACCAAGTAAAGAAAGCCCCTACCTCCCATCTCCACAGGTCTGTGACTAGCACTTTATCAGTTAGTGAGTAATCTTCAAAAGTGAAGAATGTCATCATGCTTTGGAAATATTAAAAAACTGATATAAAATTTGTTTTACAAAAATGCTACTGTCATACTGAAATTCTGGTTGTGCTGTAGATAAGTAAATAATGAGACAATGTCTGCAGAAAGTTTTTGAATCAGAAGCACTGTCCAGACATTTTTAAATAACAACCCATAAGCTGTGAGCCTTGCAGTGGGTACAGTATATTCCATTTTACAAGGTGATACTTTACAAAGTGAGTATTAGAATCGCTTGCAGTACCTATACAAAATGCAGATTTCTAGGCCTGCCCCAGATCTATTGAAAAGACTGACATGAAAATCCCATCAAGTCTATGTCTCCTCACGTTTTTGTTATGCTATTCCATAATGCTGAAACAATTTAGTCCACTTTAAAGAACCAAGAAATATTAGAACCCAGCACTGGATTGTGTTTTGATAAACTAAAACAGAAACAAAGCTGGACTCTAGAAAGGCTATTTATTAATTTACTACTAATTGCTAATAAATACTTTCTAATTAATGTGCAGTGGAAAGACATAGGCTAGACAAACATGCACTTTGAAGAGGTCTGCTCAAACAGTCGATATTGGAGGTCGGAATGGTAGGAGGTGACCAAGGATGAAGCGTGACTGCGATATAGACTGACCACTTCCTGACACTGAGGTGACCTTCCCCGTAGCCCTGGGCAGTACCCATTGTTGACCCTTCCTGTGCAAGAGCTCTGTGCTTCCATGATTAAGCACTCGTCCCAAATGGAGGTCCAGTCTCTCCGTCTGTGTCCTAGGCTTCCATGAGATTATTGCAGGTCTGCGAGTCATCCTTTTTTCACTCAGCCTTTGTTGAAAACTTTTTTGTGGCTTACTGTATTGATTTTTATAACTAAGCCTCAGTCAGCAACATTTTGGCCCACGCTTCTCTCTCAGGGATCTCTAATCCCCAAAGTTATCAACTGGCATGGAATATCCTTTTATGCATTTTTATTAAGAATCTGTTGCTCTTCGTGAAACCCCAATAACATACTTCCCCCATGTTCTAAGTCCATTTAGCATCATAAATACCCTGAATAAAAACACATTTTATAATACATTTTTATTCACTTATAGCTGACGATTAGCTTCTCAACCTGGAGAGATTTTGTGAAAATATAGGAGTTAGAAATAGAATACGAAGAACTCAACTCTCGTCACTTTTTAAATGTTCCTCAGTCACACATCACGGACACCTCTGAGCATTTCTCCTCAGCTGGCTCACTGACAGATGTGTCCTCCCTCTCCCAGACTATAAAGACCAAGCGCCATGTTTTTAAAGTGCATAATGTGCAAATATGTGCTGCTGATGTCTCTTTCTTAAGCTCAGACTTTTGGCTGAAAAATAAAAGCTAAAATGAGAAAATTAAAACCTCTGATGAATTTATTAATAAACTTTTAATAGTCTGACTGTAGATACCCTCTCTGCCTCTGCTATCTCACTGCCATCAATAAACCTTCACCACTAGATGTATTGCTTGGTCACCCAGAACCTCACTGATTTCTGTATTTATATTATGAAATGCATCTTTAAATTTTTTAAATTTTTGCTTCTCAGGTTATGAACACGGGCATTAGCATGGCTCCAAATGTTAGCGTGGAAATCATGATACCAAATTCTTTTGTTCCCCAAACTGATAAACTGTTCAACATTTTGGATGTCCAGGTAAAAATGAGTTCCTTGTATCTGATCTTTATTCAGTGTGTCTTAAATACTAAAACAAATGCAGGCCAATCCTTTATTCATAGGAGTATTGCTAAGACAAAGATTTCTGTTCACTTCTTTCAGTCTCATTCAAACCTGTGAGTTCACCATGCATTAATATTTGAATATTATATATTGCTTTAGAACTGTAGAGTCACACTGGAACATCTTCATTTGACTTATACAATAAAACTCCCTTCTATCATCTGTACTGAGTAATTAAGACATGTTTTCTTTGTGATGCAGACATGTTGAACTCATTCAGTTGGTAGGCTTCTCCATAAAGCTTGAAGCTGGTGTTTAAAGATCAAGAACTTTTTAAGGGAAGCAACATTTAAATAACTTACGAATTCAGATTTCTTTTATTGATCCATCAGAATTCTCCCGACTTCTAGGTATTAAGAAAAAAGTATGCACCAAATAAAATATGTATCTCAAGCCTACTTCAGTATATTTTAAAACTTTTACTTGAATTCCAGATTTAGATTGTAGGACATGCAATTGTATCATTTTCTTTTGCACATAAAGCCAAAGAAATGTTTAATTTCAGGCTAATGCTCAAAAGTCATTTTTGTCCTTTCTCATATTCTGTAAGGTTAAGGTCATTCTGGCAGGTTAGGACCTAAATCTAACCCTTGACAATTTTGCTGGGATTTTGTTCATGTTTTTCCACAGAGGTTTAATCTCTCCTAAATAATTCTGACAAAGTATCTTCATGATTTCCTAACAACTTGATATAGTTTAGCAAATGTAAGTAATTAGAACTTTTTAAACCATGCTGTATTTGTTCTGCCCAACGTTGAAATAGAACCTTTTTCTTGCTTTCTACCTTTCTAGACCACTAATGGACAATGCCAGTTTGAAAATTATCAAAGGGAATGTGCATCAGGGCAGCAAAGGGACGCCACGGAGACCTTATGGGGCATCCTCAGATTCTTGTCAAAGACCGATAAGAGGGTATTGGTAAGTTTTAGTTTATCACGTTGTAGTTTTTGCTTTCTAAAAAAGGTATGAAAGGTCCCAGATATACAACAGATACTGTGAAATGGGAAGAGACATCAAAAGAAAGAAGAACCAGGGTAGGGGAAAGGAAAAAGGAAGGATGGGAAAAGAAAAAGAAAAGATAAGATACTTGTACTATTAGTTTCTCTTAGTTCATTGAAAAGAAAAGTTGTGCTAATACCATTTGGACAATGTTTCATGCCTATATCTTGTACTTTGAGCAATTACTGTGAAGATAACAATATGCAATGTATTAACTTGTTATTTTCCTATTGTTTTAAAATTTTATTTTTTCCATAAAATAAAATTTTTAAAAATAAAAGAGGCATAAAACATTGGTGGGAGCTGCCAGCTGAGAGAATCCAGAACTAGGTAATATCTTTCATGAAAGGGATAAGCATGATTGGAGGAATAGGAACGACTCAGCTTTAATTATATATTATAGTTTCATTATTTAACTAATGCCCAAGGTTGCAGCCAAATACTGTCCCAGATCCTTTCAGAACACTGTCACCAGACAGCCTTACTTACTCATTCTCTCCGTCTTCATGAGTTTGGGAAAAGAATACTAGGAAGCAATCACCACCTTCAAATAACGCAAGCATAAAACACGCATCCTAGCAGGACTCTAACTGTTCTGTCCCAGAAAGCTAAGTTACCAAGAATGGCGAGAACACATGCTCCCCTTTGAACACTTTGTTTGTTTTCATTTACGAAACAAACATTTGTGTTTTCTTTAAAGGGAGATCATTTTTAAATGCCGCTAAGGAAAGCAGATGTTTAATGGCACGTTTACAGAAAGACAGTGTACGAAAGGGCGTAAAAGAGTTTTAATTTTTATAAAGAAATTTTTTGAAATGTAAATGTTGAAAATTTTAATGTAGTACTTTATATTCTTTCTTAGTACTGCATGAAAGCTGACCCGTACTGTTTACGTTTCCTATGCAATTTTGGGAAAATGGAAAGTGGAAAAGAAGCCAATGTTTACATTCAGTTAGAGGGCCGGCCCTCCATTTTGGAAATGGTGAGTCTAAAATACACTGACAACTTCATGGATACATTCATAAAAATCTAAGTTCAGTCTCACCCAGGTGTAATCTCACGAAGGCACTTGACAAATTACGTTATAAATAAAATTATGGAATAAATCTTAAAACTGATTTCTGCTTATCACTTCAGCTCTCTAAAGATTGGGGTATAATGAAGTAGTTTAAAAGGCATGCCCAACTGTTTATGAACCTTAAGTAAATCAAAGAAATTGGTTATTTTAACATTTCATGTAACCTTAAAAATTCTTTGCACACTGCTTCCAATTATCCATTAAACTCTTTTGAAAATAGTTATGTAGTAAAATTAAGGCTTTCATAAAATCAAACTATATCATCAAAGTACATCAACAATAGCAAAACATAATGAAAAAAATGTGCTTTAGAATGACATTTAAAATTTAAAAATTAATGAATTTAAAAATAAATACCAGTTGGATTCCTTATTTTTATGAAGTGTACTTTGAGATAAAACTAGTTTTATCTAAAGTCCTGTTTTGCAGTTTCCTCATCTGCTCAGCATGGGTAATTTCAAAGTAGTGTTATAGATTAAACAAGACACTTTAATGACAGCTATTGAGTGAATTTTTTTCTTTTGCACCAGTCCTGGGGATTGAATCCAGGGCCTTCACACTGAGCTACATCCCCAGCCCTTGTCATATTTTTTATTTGAAGACAGAGTCTCATTGAGTTTCCCAGGCAAAAGAGGGAGGTCTGTTTTAGTTTCAGCTGTGCTAAAGAGTCTTGATACCCTGAGGTCATCATTTAACTTCTGCAAGTTGCCCTGGAACATTCCCCAGGTTTCTCAACAGTGAGCGCTGCTGGTGTTTTGGAACAGATACTTTTTTTGTTGTCAGGAGCTGTCCTGTGTCACGTATGGTATTTAGCAGCATTCTCTACTGCAACCCACTAGAAACTGGTTGTACCATGGCCCACGTCCTGACAAAGATATCTCCACACACTGCTCTAAATTTAGGCAAAGCATGTAAAATGTCAAAAAATCTTTACACAGTAGTTTTTAACTTTCAAGACTCACAGATCTCTCTAAGGACCTGACTGAAGAATATATTCTCATCCTAGATACCCACAATAAAACATACCCACAATAAAACATACCCACAAGAAAACACTGTACCTTGTAAAGGTTATACACAGATCCCCAAGCTTTGTGCATTCAGAGTTATGAAGTCCTTGCTGTAGGAAGTAAGGTTCTGAGTTCATCCACTGAGTTTATATCTGAATTCTCTTACAATTTGTACCAGATTTATTTTAAAAGAAACTTTAGATTGGAGGAAATGTTTACCAGGTGAAAAAAGTATTGTTTGGGGGTTAAAATGGACATCCCCAAGGAAATTACGTTGCAACTAGTAACTTACCCCGTAGCAGTCTAACAAATCATATTTAAATGAAGTTAACAGCTGCATAGTTATACGTAATAAAGGGTTTCAATGAAATGATGCCATATAAACTTATACTAAGACCACACCTTTGGACCTATAGGAAAAAATTGCATTTCGGTAAACAGAAGAAGACAAACTGCAGAAACTTCTGGATAATACCTAAGTCATAAGGAATCATTTCTGTTAACAGGACTTCATGAAATAAAACTCAGCAGGGTGATGATGATCTTTCTGTGTTTCAAACAGGATGACACCTCGGCACTCAAGTTTGAAATAAAAGCCACAGCTTTTCCAGAGCCACATCCCAAAGTTATCGAACTGAACAAGGATGAGAACGTAGCACATGTAAGATGAGCTTTCTAACTGGTCCGCTAGAACTGTGAGGAAGCACGCTATGAGAGTGTCTATAATTGCTTCCTTTGCCTACCTGAATTGGAAAATTAATGTGTAACCAGATCCTGGAAGACTTTGAGCACGTCCCTAAGGTGGCATTTTCTACAACTGCCAGGAAGGAAGACCCAGGATTTTAGGGAGGGAGGTGCAATTGGTAGCAGTGAGAATAGGAGGAAGGAAAAGCGGTGGTGAAGGCTTAGGCCCTCACTGGTGCTACACAGTTACCATTGTTTCCTGTGGTTGTATTAAACCAGCACAAGAATAGGGTGGCTACTTCTTATCTTCTAGGGATTTGGGGAGGGTTTGAAAGGAAGTGAGAGTTTCGAAACTGTCTGTTTTGCTTAATTGTTCACACAGGTCCTACTGGAAGGTTTACACCATCAAAAACCCAAGCGCCATTTTACCATAGTGATTATTTCAAGTAGCTTGCTTCTTGGACTTGCTGTACTATTTTTGATTTCATGTGTTATGTGGAAGGTAAGCCCTTAACAATTAGCAAATTTAGTGCTGCAGTTCAGTCTATTCAAAAGACTGTTCTTGATATTCTCAGAGTAAACAGATGGCTCCAGGTTATTAAAGTTTATGGTGTTAAGTGAACAGATAGCATAGACTGCATATTTCTTCTAACCTCAATGCCAAAGTCTTTCTGGAAAACTAGTTTATTTTCAACAAATATTCAAGCTCTAACACCAGATTTAAAAGAAGATCTTTTAAAAAAACATTCACAAAACTGCACAGTATGTTGAATGCCGAGTTTAGGGGGAGGATATGTGCCGTATCACTGATTCAACAACAAAATGCTACTTTAGCCCAGTATGTCCCAAACTAATTTCTACTGACGACACTGCGGAAAGCCTGCCGAAATTTTTGTTTCAAGGGACACTGTTTAAGAAATATTGGCATTGACTGGATATTTGATGTGAATATAGTATATTTTTAACTATACATTAGTTATTATGCAATTCTCTTTATAGGCTGGCTTCTTCAAAAGACAGTACAAATCTATCATACAAGAAGAAAACAGAGATAGTTGGAGTTATGTCAACAGCAAAAGCAACGAGGATGAGTAAAGACTTCTTCCAAAGTCAGAGAGCTGAGAAGACTCAGGTTAGACTAAAAGCATTGTTTACAGGAAAACCAACTTTTCTCCGACTTTTTTGTGTGGATTTCTTTAACTTACAACATGTTATGTGTTCCTGAGGTAAAAGTTCAAGCCATCACTGTTCTTCCAAAGAAAATAACTGCAAAGCTGTACTACTTACCATAGCCAAAGATGAACTTGCAAGTATTAAATGGGTAAAAGAACACTACAGCCTTCGACTTCTTCAAGAAAAATAAACCCTGAAAACTATTTTAAAGTATATTGGAATTAAAGCATACTGGACCAGGACAAATAAGCACTGATTCATTTCACATATGTCTTTGAGCTTGTTTGTAAAATGTTCTTTAAAATCATTTCGTGGAATTTTCTTGAAAGACTTTTATTTGTAATGCATTTTCTTTATTCCAGCAACTGTTTTATTCAATAGACTATGAATAATATAGGCCTGATGTACAAGTTTCATGCTGAATACACTGGTTTGAATTTAACAGGAAGACTTCTGGATAACTACAGAGCTACGTACTTTTTTCTATATATCCATACATTTTTTAAAAAGAATATATACGTCTATATACATATATAGGTATAAATCCAATAGTCTCCTACAATACACATATATCAAGAGTACCTAGGAGTGAATTAAAAGAAAAACACCCTGAATTTTTTTGTTTATAAAAAATTCTTAAGTGTTCTAATTTCTATTCTACAGCAACAGATTATAAATGTTGCCACTTCAACTAATATACATTGATATATTTAAGAAATATGAAAACTAGGCCTCACTAGTGATTTTAAAAAGCTATGCAGAGAATGACTCAGAGGCCAGTATTTCAGACTTACTGGGTACTGTAGAGTAAAATAACATCCTAAATTAAGCAAATAAGTGTTTTAATCAGGCCTACAAATGCATTCTCCATAGAAATGGAGAGACACATTTCACAGACAACTGAAAAATATACATTTGAACTATTAACATAAAAGTGACATCAAAATTTCTAAAAGATGTTTGGATGGGTAGATAAACTTTTTAAGTTAATATTACAGAAGGTTATATTTTAGATAAAACAGCTTCTTGCTGAATTTTAAATAATTTATCTTTAAAGGCATTTTCAAATGCAGTCATTTTGTAGTATTTATTTCATGTAGATCTCTTTGTATGGGTAAGAAAACTGTGGCCAAATTTTTGAACATCTGTTAGAGGAAGTGATCAAATAAGAGAAAAGTCTCTACTGTTACAGAAAATATTGCTTTACGTGAAGTCTCTGCTGCCAGCTGTCTCCTTCCTCGGGTTTCCTGACTTGTGAAAGTTAGCCATTCCTAAGTCTCTGCTCTGTGACCGGTGGCTGGAGAATGACGAATGTACAGAGATTTTGTGAAGGCATCTGAGCAATAAAACTTAAGCACAAAGCCTCTTAACTCAAGAGTATACATGGTAAACTTAGTTTTGCTTGTACATATTTTAAATAATGCATTTGTGCAAAAGATATATTTTTATGCTTTTATTATTAAATATTAGTTCTTTTAGAATATCTAGGCTCATGTGTCAAAATGAAGCACAGATTTAGAAAAGTATTCTTTCAAAGGAAACTAAAATTTAGTACATGCTGAAAGCCAAGTGCCAGACCCGTACCTTTCTAGTACAAGGAGGGCAGAGTTACCCAGTGGGCTAGCTTTCATGCAGTTAGGTACCTGACATGGTTCTAAAGAAAACCTGTTATACACTTTGTGATGAGTTTTAAACCCTATTTTACATCCTTTTTTTAGAAGGTTGTCTATGTATTACAAAGACTTTTGTAAAAAAAGAGTTCTGTTTTTGGTTATATCACTGACTACTTGTATGATTTTGAAATTTAACTCCTTTGGATTAGTTTCCGTTCAGTGTGGTCCTAAGAGAGCTGCTTATACCAGGCTATAGGAAATGTGATATCAGACTGGATGGGCTTAAATCCTGGAAAATAAAAACTCAAATGATTTTGCTTTAGAATTATCTTGGGTAAATATTGATATATCATGATAATAGCTAAGGGCATGAAATGTTTATTTTACTTCCAGTAAACACCTTCTAAAAACTGGAACTTGAATTTTTTTACTTTATATTTTTTAATCTTCATTTTGAGAGCTCTGGCTCCTACCTTTTAGTTGCAACAAAAATATCAACTTTAATTTCTTTCAAAAATGCATTTTCTATTAGAATATCTGTTAAAGCACAACCAAATCCTTCCACATTAAAATGCTTCTTTACATATTTCTTTTATAAACAATTGCATGTTACTTTAGACTCATTCATTTCTTCCATGCTTCCTCCATAAAAACTGATAAGTCCTGGGTGTAATCTGTAAACAATAACATATATAATTTATTATTTCATGTAAACTTCCTTCTGTTATTCTTCACGTACACTTAATGAGCAAGATACATAGTGCCACATCAGACTGATACCCACCAAATATATTCATGGCAGAGCTACAAATGAAGGGGCCTGAAATATCAACAGTAATCATCTCAAAGCCACCTTTACCTCTGTAGAAAGGTCAGTTGTTCCTGTAGAACATGCACACCAAGTGGGTGCCCTGTATACTTTTTCTGCACACTTGGTCATCACGCTATTCAACAATGAGTTTGCATTTGCCTAAACCTGTTTCTACCAGTTGCCCTTGTTAATATGTAAAGTTGTTCATTTGTAAAGTATGTTGAATGCCTTTTGAAGATTTGATAAAAGCAAACTGCTGAACATGAAGTGCTGTGGTATTAGAAACTTGTAAGAAGAAACCAAGACTAACACTCTCCTTCTCCCAGGGCTGCACAATAGCTTAAGATCTTGATCCATTTTTTAAAAATCCAAAATGGAACATGTAGCCACATATGCAGATTGATAATTTGGAATGCTGATGTTGAGACTCATATCCAAACTCAATGACTGCGTTCTACACAAGGGTTGGTAAATAAATGTAAAGTTACCACTTTCTATTCATTGAAAGTTATGTATTTTTCTTTTTATGCTTCTCTGATTAGTCAATTTTCAATTTATCAACTACCTCCACCTTGGACTGTTGAGAGAAGCAGTTTTCACTGGATTACCAGGGTTGTGTCTACTGGTCATCATGAAATAGTGAATAATTAGGCTTACCTAACATGGACCTCTGATGAAACTTCCATTAAGTCACCGTCCACATTCCAAGGGAAAGCAGTATTTCCTGAAGCAGTTTCCTGAGGTCCAGCCTCCTCCTCTAGACTGTATCTGACCGTATTCCTTGGGTATACTTTTACTTCTTCAACATTGTAAGTCTCAATGAATGGAAAATTAAACTAAATAAAAGAAAGGAAAATCATGATGCTTGCTGTATCTCTCCCGGGGAATGTAAATCAAGCAGGTCATTGTGTCTCTCAGGAGTACATGTCATCATGCTTGCTTGCGTGTTTTTGTTATAGCTTTGAAACTATGATCAGGGATCTCTACATTTTCCTGAAGCTTTCCTGGCTTAATTAGTATTTTGTAGGAAAGTCAGTTCATATTAATAACGGTACATAGTGCTATTGTACTGTTTCTAATAAAAGACTGAATCTTCAGAGCTGATCTGTTGATACAGAAGATTTATACAACCCAGGGATTCCTTATTAACTTGTCAATCAGTTTAGCTGATATGAAGCAAACTCTAGTGTACTTTCACATTGGAATTTGGGGGAGAATTGAGATCTAATCCTGTGAAATGTGAAGTATATCTTAAAAGAGAAAGCCAATCAAGTATGATTTTCATGGGTGTTCGCCTGCCTCCTCTTCACTTTAAGAATAATTGCAAGGTAAACCTAATCTTGCAATTTTTCTTGTGTGACTAAGAAAATTGTAAGGAAAAAACACTATGTAGTCTCTGAAATAATTAAGAAAAAATTCTAGTGTAATACTTAAACTATTCTGTATATAGTTTTCCTCCTTTCTTCCACATATAAACAAGTCAGAAGTTTAAAAGTTGATAGAAAACTAATATTTTCCCAACACATTTATTTTACATTACTAGAAGCCAAGGTTCAGCAGATGCCAGTTTATGCTCTCTAATAAACTGACTTACACAGTGGATTGCATGGTGAGGCCTCACTGTTGTGAGGGTAGTAAGGCACAGGGTTCCAAGTGGCTCTCTCGGAAACTGCCTGACAGTCACCGCTCTAGACTTCCTGCTTCAGGTGTAAAGCCTCAGGGACATGCCTCATATGTGCAGAAATTTCTGCGTAATCATTCATTTAAATGAGTCATTAATAATTGGCTGTGGTTTAAATTCTGCTCCCCCACAATAAAAAATAAAAAAAAATACCAAGTCTTAACCTCTGGTACCTGTGAATGTCATTACACTTGGAAGTAGGGTCTTCACAGATATAATCAAGATGAGGTCAAAAGTGTGTGCCCTTCACTGAGTTATGACTGAGAGAAGAGAGGAGAAATGCCATGGGATGCCAGAGTCTAGGATTGCAGTGGTGAAGCTCTAAGCCCAACAGTGCCAAGAATGGATAGCCACCATCAGTAAGTCTGTGGTCTCAAATCAGCAGTTCGCATGTGCACACTTCGCAAAGTGAAGCTCTAGCCATCCATTCAAATTTATTAACTATGAAGCCACAGACATTGTTAAATGGGTCTTCAGGGAGCCAAGAGCTTAGCGTCACGTGTGAGGGTGTGTTTTGGGAAGAGCAGGAAAGAGAAAAAAGCAGTTACAGTCCCATAGAGGGGTGTGTCACGATTACCCAGTCAAGGAGTTCAATGAGGGAAGCAAGAAGGAACGACAGGAGCAACGGGCTTAGGGTGCTTGGAAAGTTTAGCCTCTGAACAGTCACAGAAGAGGAGGAGAGATGGAAAAGAGCTCTGGAGGGAAGAAAGCATCTAGCAAAGAACAGGAGCATGTGTCATGATGTGGCAACCAAAAACACATTCGGCGTAACTGCCACGGGCTGAATTGTGTCCCCTGCTACCCAGGAATGTCTACGTCAAAAGTGCATCACCCGCCTAGCGTCTCAGGACAAAACTACTTGGAGATCATGTTTTTAAAGAGGAGATTAAGTTAAACTTTCATCTGGACAGCGACAGTGGGGCTGCATCCAGTAGGATTAGTGTCCTTAAACAACAGGAAACTTGGATGTACAGAAAGACACCACGGAGGCACTGCCCGGAGAGAAGACTGCATGACACCGGAGGAGGAAGCCAGAGACAAGCTAGAGCACAGCCTCACGAGAAACTGAACCTGCTGCCGCCCTCTTGAATGCCTGGCCTCCAAGCTATGACAACATGTTTGTCTGTTTAAGCCACCAATTCTGCATGTTATGGCAGCAGCCCGAGAAAACTAATACAGTGACCAAAACACAGGCGCTCCTCTGGATGGTCTAGGAGGAAAGGCTGTGACATAACCAGGAGACAGAACACAAAGGGCCCAAATTGCATGCTAAGAGCATTAGATGATTATTCTGAGGACAATGAGAAAGGTACTGGAGAATGAAGAAGAGAAATCAGAGGGCTTTCAGAAAATAAATACTCTAAAAGAAAATACATAATCCAAGGAAGTCATTATACACGAGGAGGGATCAGGGTTTGAATTTGGAGTAGGGAGAAATTTCAACATGAGAACCAACCAAATTAGCCAATCGGTTGGTTGTGGTGATCAAGAGCGAGTGAGAAGAGTCCGCAGTACCACCAGCCTGGTAATAAGTGGTGTCCCTGACCTGCACAGGGAGCCTGGAAGGAGAGAGGATGATAAGTTGCTTCGGGATGTGTTGGGCTGAGGCACAGGTATTTCACAGCCTTCACAGCACACAGGACAGCAGAGTGGCCCTGCAGATCAGAAGGGAAGACAAGACCCTAGGAAAGGTGCAGCGCTCAGAGATCAGAGTTTGAACACCAGGGGCAGAGGTCACCCCAGAGAGAGTGTCCTGGGAGGAGAGGCAGGCGGCCTACACATCCCTGTGGAAGCATTAACAGGGAAGGCTGGAAGTTGATTACAAACACAGTCCAAGCCAAGGAAAGACCTGGGGACAGACAGCGGTGGGGCAGCAATAGGACAGAGAGGAAAAGACTCCGAAGAGTAACTTTACTCTCTCTAATCACAGGGAAGAGAAGGAAAGAGGAGTGTGTTTCCCATCTGCTCTGTTTAACCTGGCATCACAGTTCAGAGAAGATGCATTCTCAGGCTAAAGAGCTGTGCTTTCTTCCCTGAATCCTAGCAGTGCTTCTGAGTCACTGTATTGCAGACAATATAATCCCGCATTTGCTGGTCTTTATAATCTTACATAACTATATAAATTTACATTTTTGAAAATGTCATAATGAAGGAGAGTACATATCAGCTCTGTTCATTTGATAATTTTAACAGATGTATCAAATTAATGTTTAAGATCAGTCACCTTGAAAGAAATCTATGTATTCATGGTATATACCATTATGTAAGAGAGCTTAGAATTTTTTTGCAAAAAATTATAAAGCAATTACATGAACTTTAATTTTTTGAAGTAGCTAAGTTCTTTAGCATTAAGCCTAATGAAACTTACATACAAATATTCAGGAAATAATTTCTTGTTTGTTTGGTTTGTATGAGACAAGGTCTCACTTTCTAGCCTAAGCTGGGCTTTGAGCTTTCATTCTACTGCCTCAGCTCCCCAAATCTTGGGGTCATAAGCATGTGCCACTATTCCTAGCTTACAGGCAATAATTTTCTTTATTAAAAGCAGCTAAGTGTGATGGTTCATGCCTGTGATCCAAGTACACTAGTGGCTGAGGCAGGAGGATTGCCACGTTTGAGTCCAACCTAGGTAAATAAGCAAACTTAGTAACTTAGCAAGAATTTGCCTCAAAGTAATGTTTTTATAAAAAAGGGCTGAAGATGTAGCTCAGTGCAAAAAAGCATAATAGTAATGACAGGACACATTATAAAAATAGGTCAAATAAATTGAGAATAACACGGTCTCCTTTTGAAAAAAATTTCCTACATAGGCTTTCATTATGTTCTGTTCGCTTCTAAAAACACCTTTTGTTTTTACTCTTAAGCATCGTTTTTGAAATCAGAAAATATTTTCATTGAAAAAGTCTACACAAATTGCCAATTGCCTTAGAAATGTACCTCATGATGGAATTCCAGAAGAGAATTTCTCTAAACAGTTTGTGTAATACATTCATCCCTTAAATAAATATACAGTCTCTCATAGAAATATTAATAGGTTAATACTCATTTGACTTTTCATAGAAATCATAAAAAGAGACTGGGAAAAATCTATATACCAAGGCTGTGATTATCAAAAGGAGCACGGAAATTGGAGTGGTTTTATATTGTGCTTTTGTCTCTTTTTTGACTTAATGACCAGGCACTGCTTTTGGATTAAGAAAAAGCTAGTTTTGCAATTTAAAAATATAATGAAATCTGAAAAGGCACATATTCCTTTGAAAAAAGTCAATAAATTTACATATTTTCCCAAACACATATAAAATCATTGTTCAAGTTCACAACCTATAGCGCATTTATTTGCCTACTTGGCCTTTGTAGAGATTTATATTTAAAGAAAGTGTAATTATATCTAGTTTTTTGCAACTTAACCTCTTAAATAGTCCAGTTGGACTATGTGTTGATCAATATGGTAGGCAGAAGAGAACTCAAACCTGAAGGGTGCCTTAGTCTGAACTCCTAACGCAAAAGTAGGAGTCTCGTAGTGGCTAAGAATATAAGCGGGAATCAGCGGCTCATCGTTGTCTGGACTTACTATTTTCCACCCATGTCCTAGCGCCATTTTATACCTTTAAGAATGTGTGAGATCATTGGATTTTATAATCACACCTGTGCACTTCAACACTAATATCTGAGCCAGAATATCTGCCAAAGGAAATGCCTTGTCACTGTTTTTCTTTAAAGCTAATCACTTAAGTGAAAATATACAGCCATATTCAATACCATTTTCAATAGAATAATTTAAGGGTGTTTTTAAAACAATGGTGTAATCAATGAATATAGGCAGATATGTAAGTAAAGTGTCAGATCATAACTATAGTGTCTGACCCCATAAATGCAAGGAAGCTAAAATCTCAGATTTTACTGCTTTTCATTTTGAACAACAGCCTGAGCATGTAATTATATCTTTGACTTCCTTCAAACTGCAGCATAAAACTACACTATCTATTTTAATTTGTGCAAGCAAATGTACGACCCCTATCTCAACAAAGGCCAATTTACATTAATACTGGTGGATGCTTTCCAAAATCTACATGAAGCAGATTGAAAAAAAGATCAACATATTCAGAAAAAATAAAGCTCTTATGAGGCAAGACAGGTCAACTCTTACAGCATCCTCCTCCCCATGATTAACAGCTTTGCAAATAAGTAGCAAAAATCATGTACTATACCTGATTCTTCACGCTGGCATATCTTTTCAGGTGTTTTATAAATTCTGGCCGAGAAGTGTTTCGTACAATTATAAGAGCCATACTTCCATTATTTAATCTGAAATTATACGTTTGTATTTTATATTAAGTTTTTATTTATTTATTTACTTATTTTTGTCTTTTTTGAGACAGGGTCTCACTGTGCAGTTCAGCTGGCCTTGATCTCACTTTGTAGCCCACGCTGGTCTCAAACTCGCAACAATCCTCCTACCTCAACCTCCTGAGTGCTGGCATTACAGGCTTATGCGCCACCATGCCTGGCTACATTAAGTTTTTAAAGAGACTACATCAGAAATCACTCCACATTATTTCTTATAACAAGCATACTGCTTACTAGAAGTATCAGGCAAGACAGATAAATCATCACCACACTGAATATACCTAAAATTCTTCAGTCATATCTTGCTGTATTGCTATTTAAATGATGTAGCCTTTCAAATTAGTTTTACCGAACCATGGGCTTCCTTCTTAGCAAACTCTTACGTCAGAGCTCTTTAAAAAATGAGCTATCATGCCTCCTACTCATACATCAAGACCTAATTTAAATTCCACTGTAATTAAGAATCTAAACATGAAATTACATGTGGCTTTTAAAGTTGTATTATGAAATAGTTCTCGTGTACAAATGGTATAACATAAAGCTCACCATTTTCTAATATCCAAAGTGTGATTTAAATATTTATTTATGGGCAGAAGGTCTAAGTGAGATAGGAAATGGAATAAATCACAGTGGCCCTGGGTGGATGGAACGGTGTGAGCAACTGCCGCCACACATGTTCAGTGAAACAACTGAGCGTTTTAATCTGGCATAGCTGTTCCATCCAATACAAGAGACTGGGAACTCAGAGGTGTGATTTACTGCCAACACGGCCACTTGCAAACGCATCAGCTTCGGAAAGCAGTCTGCAGAAATCCATGCAAATGACTTCAAGCTTGATTTCAGTGCAAATGTGAAGTTATCCCAAGAATAATGAAAACAGAGAAGAAAGAGCTTCATCAGTCTTATGGAAGCTCAGGTTAGCACTGAAGGTGCGTTGGAGATCATCTCATCACACATTTTGTGTAGAAGGGAAAGACATGTAAGTGATTTGCTCAGAGGCACACAGAGAAAAACAAGATGATCACTAGCAACAGACCTCTTAACTGCCAAGGTCCAGTTTTCCTCCTATCCATCAGGCCTTCTCTTCCCCATGGGAAATAAACAGCACCAAGATAGTCAGGGTAGTGTTATTGCATGTCCTTTATTTTTAAAATCACGTAGCTTTCTAAGCATGCAAGGTATTATCAAAGTCTGTTTTGTATTATTTACTTGCAGTTGAAATGTGCTCTATGAGCCTGGTACTGGTCCAAATGTTTCACATATATTAACACGTTTAATCTTAGAGTATTTATAGTATAAGGTGAGCAGTTCATTTAAGCCCTTTGCACTTGTTATTTTGAAGTAAACTTCATTGTTTAAAAAAAAAAGCTGGAGGTGTGCCGTCTGGTCTGATTACTGTAAATTCTTCGAAGCTACGTCTATGAAAACCTCTGGTCAACTGAGGCCCATTCTAAAGGCCTCCACAAAAATGGCGTAGTTTGACTGTAATCCACAGAAGAAATCTCTAAGCAATCGTCTTTCTCTGAAAAATCCATCAATACTGATGAAACCCAGAGAGCAGTGCAGTCCCAGGAAGGCTGACCGTGGTGGAGCATCTCTGAAGGAGGAATAAATCCACTGTTCCTAGAAGAACAGGATCCCCATGAAGGTTCTGAATTGGGCCTAGAACACTGCCCTAAGCCCTGCAGGACAGAGCTGCTGGGTCAGCCAGCCACGGCTTCAGGTTTAGTGGAGGAACCTGCATTAGCCAAGAACACAGCTAGCAATGATTTCTGAGGCTATGTGGGAGAACAACCGGTTCAGCTTTTAAATCACAAGAACTTCAAAATACTCCTCCCAATTTTCAATTTTGGATGTAATTAAGGAGGGCCTGGCCATCTGGGTTTTTACTTATCAAAGTTGTTAGTGTCTCTCTTTTTCATCTCTAACTTTAGCTATTGCCTAGTTTATCGTCTTTACATCAAGTGCCAAAGAAGAAATTTAAAAAGCAATCTCTTTTTCTAGCTGTTAATCATTGTGGTTAAATATTTTGCAGCGAAATTGAAACTGATCAATAAAAAGTTATAAACTGCTACAGTACGTAAGTCATTCTTTCATCCCACTTCCAGGGAAATCTAAAGTTGACTGTATTTCACACCTTTCATGATTCTTCCTTCTTGGTTGACAGGATTGGATTTCAAGAGGAATATTTTCAGACAGTTGCTTAAAAAGATGGACAGTTGCTTAAAAAGAATGCGCAAGAGAAGGAATGTCTGTACTTTGTGGATGAGACATATGAAGTGCCTCATAATTTATTTACTTAAAAAATGGGCAGTAGATTCCTGTGCACCACAATTCACATTAATTAGAACTGAAGTGTTTCCTTTAAAAGTACTGAACAGATACATATATGTGCTATCTTTTTTCACACTAAAGGTATTTGTGCTTGCATTAAAATTGTAAAACATAGACATTCACAATATCAGAATCTAATATCCTCAAGAACTAGTAAATAAACAAATAAAGCAACCAAAGGCGACAAAAACTTGCAAAATCATCTCAACAAAACCCGAGGAATATTATTTTAGCCTTAATCATATTAAAAGGCAGGTAATGATTTTTCCTTAATCTGATGCTGACACATCCTTTGGAAACTCTAATAATTACACAAAGAAAGACTATCTCTTAGTTTCTAGCTAGCCAAGAGTTAGCTGGTTATTATTAAAAAAGAAACCTTAGTTTCTGTAAAAAGAGTTACTGATGATTCAGTAAAAGGCTCTTACCTGGTATTAGGTGCCAAGCCTCTGGGTGCCACTGCACACAGGCAAGGAATTGCCATGATGCTGACATTCAGGAACTGACCTTGGACTGTCTGCCATTGCTCATTACCTAAAGGTCAGGGGGAAAACTGGTTACTTCAGCTCACCTCAGCAAAAGGCCAGCACTGCCCGGCTCGGGTCTCCAGGAGACACTTTGGGACTCACCAGAGTTTGGAGATTCCTGTACCACCCTGCAGGTAAGAAAACAGAGACAACAATATGTCACATAGGCAAACAGCACCTATTAGATATGAGAAAGTTAACATGTCACTGAAAATACGAAATATTTTCTTTGATTGATTAGATAGTAAATAAAAATAAGTGAACATTTGTTACCAACATCATTATAATCTACATTCATTAAAAGGCAGAAAAGTATTATAAGGAACAATGATTTTCAAATTTAACAATGAGAGCCCTTCCTTGGTGTGGCTTTGATGAATGCTTGTATTCGATAATAGACTAAAATTTTCAATGAGGGTTCAGACTGTGCGCTGTGTTTGTTTTTTGCCTCCTGCTTGTATCCAAAGTACCCGGCATGGAGTAGGCAAACAGCTGTTGAATGAATATACCAATGGAGGCACAAAGGTTGCTTCTGGAAACAGAAGCTAAATTACATGCCTACTAGAACCTGCAGGAGTCCATGATTTTACATTCTTCATTAGTATAGAAGAAAATAGCCAAAGATCAAAAGCCTTATAAATTACTTACACCAAAATGTTTCATGCTTAAATGAAAGACAAAGAAGATACTTATATTACATTCAGCTTTTACTTACCTTTCTCCTTCATCCTGGGAGCTGGTAAGTGGTAAAAATGATATTTCACAGTCCTCAGGCCTAAAATAAAAAGAAACGTGTTATTAATGGTCATGAACCCCGTGGTACAAAACTTTTGGTACAGGAAAAATACACTTACTTAAGTGTTGCCAGTGTCTTAATCACAGCGAAGTCTCTCCGTTTGCTGGGGGACATCCACCGGTAATTTTCTGCCAAAGCCAGAGTTCTTCCACCAAAGCCAAACATGGCTGAGAACCCAAAGCGAAGAAGCTCGCCAGTGGTGCTAAAGGTGCAGACGTCAACGGGCTGTATGTGTCCTTAAATATCAGGTGGAATGCTAGTTAGCGAGTGGAGGGGGGCTACTCCTGAAAACATCAACCGTCAAAGAGCATATTTACACAGAAGAAAATCTCAAGGTGCTGTACACTGCAATGAATATCCTTGCATGCGCGCTCCCCTCTGCCCCGCTTCATCTCTCTTTGCCTATAACTACTCTAAATGTCATTTGTGACTCTTTTGGATACCAGGTAAAGAAACCAAACGCAGTAAATTCTGCAGCTTGTTACAGTTTCACATAAAACGCAGTTCGGGAAGTGAAGCGAGATGCGCTAAGTGAACTTAGATTTAACAGCAGTTTTGTATTGCATCTATCAACTGGAATAACCAAGGGTTTACAGATGTGCATGGGTTGAAATATTTTTCTTGTATGCTTTTTTCTTTGAATAATGTAATCCTAGTCCTAGATTTTTGGTATAAGCAACAGTGTAGATTATAAACTCAAATATCATGCATAGATTTTCTTGTTCTGATTATAAAACTATGATTGTGAATATCATTATGATGTAATTTTCTATCAAAATAGAGTGTGTTATGGCTTGTATGTAGATGCCCCCTCAAAGCCTCATGTGGTCATAGATGGGGCTTTTTGGCTGGATCTAGGGTGTGTGAGGCTGGGATTAAGCCTGGGTGGTACTAAATTAGTCCACTGATTGCTTTAGCACAGTTCTGGTTGTGGATAATAGAAAAGCCCATCCTGGGTGTGGACAGCACCACCCAACAGGCTTGTAGCCTGAATGGGATAAAGTGGAAGGAAGGCTTGCTTTGCTGCTGCTGTTTGCTGCCTTCTGCCTGCTCTGCCATAGAGTATTTCTTCTAAGCCATGCCACCCTGCCTTGGCGGAAGCCAACTATGGACTGAAATGTCTATAAGCTGTGAGCTAAAATAAACCTTTCTTCCTATAACTTTGGGTGTTGGGTATTTTATCTCAGCAACAATAAAGACAGTACAACTTCTTTAAATGCCCTTTACAAACCAAATATTCTAAAAAGATAGGCAATCCGAAGAGAGAATCTTTGTCTGACTTTAAATTTTAGTCAAACATTTTTCAGCTTTGAAGGACAAAGGATGTATCATTCCTTAGATAAATCTAAAGGAAATAAAATAGTGGTTCTTTTTTGTGTGTATGTGTGGGTACTGGGAATCAGACTCAGGACCTCCCACTTTCCAGGCAGGCACTGTGCCACTGAGCTACATCCTTGGCCCCCAAGTGGTGGTTCTTATATAAAATAAGACTGCAGTATCCCACATCAACTTCTTTAGATGAATTCTTACCCATTATAATGTGCAAAGTTGCAGTTACCACGTGAGCGATTCCATGAAGAGAATGTGCCAGTACATTAGTAGATCCTGCCAAAGCAATGTTAAAGCATGCACTATCAGTGTAGCATAAGTTCTAAACTGACATTTGCTCTTATTTTATGTAAATGACTACTATGTAATGTTCAGAAGAAAATGTAATGAAGTTTATAATATCAGAAAATTTTATGACAACACTGGAAGTATAACTCCATTCACAGCAGAGATGTACATAAACTATTTACAGAATTATTCACCTTTTAAATGACTTAGGTATTAGTAAGTTGTTTATATTATCTACTTCAAGAATGGCTATTTTCTACCTTCTAAATGCTGGCTATATCAATGCCTAGCCCATCAAACTAGTGGAAGACTTTCAGCTCCCATATCAAAATAATCACGAACAACAGAAGGATGGTTCTGAAAAGGAGAGACAGATGCATAAATGATAAGAAAAATGCAAGTAATAACTAATACAAAAATAGGCTATCACTATAAATTGCAACAGGCATTCTCAAAATGCATCTAGTGAAACTTAGAGACAAGTTCTAACATGTATGACACTCCTTTCTCTTATCTGACCAAAAAATGTTTTCTTAAGTGAGGACCTATTTTATAATATTTTCCATGGTCTGAAAATTTATATTTGACACATTATAATATCTGCTTTTCATAAGCACTGGGATAATTTAAGACCCACATAAATTTTACTCGCTGAGGAACTGCTCCCAAAGCTAAGCCTCTAGAATTTTTATGTGGCACTAAAATCTGCCATCTTCCAATGGAGAAAATACAAGCTAGCCCCTTGCATTTCCAGGAAACTTAAAAAGAGCTTAAAATTATTAAGAAGAGAGTAAAGATGGAGGATTAAAAAAAATCAACATACAAAAAGTAGTAGTGTTTCTATACTCTTACAATAAGCTACCTGGAAAATCAAGAAAACAATTCTATTTGCAAAGAATGAAATGCTTAGGAATAAATTTAACCAAAAAAATGAAATAGCTGTACACTGAACACTCTAAAACGTGAATGAAATTGAAGATGACACAAATAAATGGGAAGATTATTTCATACTCATGAATTGGAATAATTGATATCAGTAAAATGTCCATATAAATTCCATACAACACCTATCAAAATTCAAATGGATCTTTCATCCAAATAGAAAAACCAATTTTAAAATGCTTCAGGGCCACAAAAGTCTTCCAGTAGCAGAAATCATCTTGAGCAGGAAGAACAAAGCTGGAAGCATCATGCTACCTGAATTGAAAATACACCACAAAGCGATAGTAATTAAAACAGCACAGTGCTCATTAAGCAAGAGGGTGGCCACAGGGACAGAATGCAAATTCCAGTAATAATAAGCTTAAGTATTTATGGTTTTTCCACAAAAGTGCCAGGAAAACACAATAGGAAAAAGATAGTAACTTCCATGGAACTAGAGTTTGGATATACACATGCAGAAGAATGCAAGTAGACATCATCTCACAACATGTACAAAAATCACCTCACAATAGATTAACGAGTCAAATGTAAAACTTAAAACTATTGGAAGAAAACACAGGAGAAAATTTCCATGTAATATTCTGAGCATTGATTGTATATGATCCCCAAAACATAAGCAAAAGGCAAAAATAGGGACCTAGCAGTATATAAAAGTAAAGCTCTTCTGCACAGAGTGAGAGACAATGCACAGAATGGGAGATAATATTTGCAAACCCCATAGCTGATAAGGGCTTAAGACGCAAAATATAATCAAACTGCATGATAAAGATATAATATGAGGAATTTTTTTAGGCAATTCTGTCATTGTGCAAACATCACAGAGTGTATCCATACAAACTAGATGCTATGGTCCACTACACATCTAGGTTCCTGAGCTATAAAGCTGCCCAACATGTTAGTATACTGAGTACTGTAGGAAACTGTGACATAGTAGTATGTATCTAGACATATCTAAACACAGAAAAAATACAATAAAAAGATAATAAAATGGCACATCCGTGAGGGTACTTACCTACCATGAACAGGACCAAAAGATGTTCTAGGTAAGTCAGAGTGACTGTGAAAACCAAGGTGGTAACTACACCCCTCCTGAAGACTTTATAAATACGTATGTGCTCTCATGCTATAATAAATTTATCATTGAACAACTTTTTTAAACCAAGTTATCTTACTGTAACTTTTTACTTTAGAAACTTAAAAAAACTTTTTAAAAACGTTTTGACTTTTCTGGAATAATCCACAGCTCAAAACAAAAACATATTGCACAGCTGTACAAAAATATTTTCTTTATTCTATGAGCTGTTTTCTATGCTTAAATTCTTAATTTTTTTATTTTTTAATCTTGTTTGTTAAACGTACACACACATGCACACATGCGCGCGTGCGCACCTAGCACACACACACACACACACACACACACACACACACCCCAGCCAGCCTAGGCTACATGGGGTGAGGACCATCAATATCACTGTCTTCCTCCACATCTCATCCTACCGAAAGGCCTTCCTAGGCGCTGCCCGCTCCTGTGACAACAGTGCCTTCCTCTGGTGTCTCTCCTGAAGCACCTGCTGGGGCTCTTCCTTGTTTTTAGTTTTTATATTTATTAGCACATGGCTGCAGTGCGTAAAGATTACACTTGCTGTGGGGAGGTGGTGTGTGTGCATAACACATTTTAATTCTTTTTATGCCCTCTTCTTCTCCCGTCCCTTGCCCCTCCCTCCATTTCTTGGTCCCCTTCCCATGTGCAGATCAACTGCCCTGTTTGTTTATACTTTGTGTTTCTCATATAAGAGAAACCATGCAATATTTAAGCTTGTGCATTTGATGTATTTCACATAACTGGGCTCTTCTCAAGCAGATGTCCCTCTTCAGAGATAAGCCCAAAGTGCTTTGCTTGGTTTCTTTTTTTCATCACAGATTTGCTCATAAGCAGATAATACACCATGAAAGTTCCTCTCAATTAGTGAAAACCTTTCTGTTTTGTTTCCATGTTTTCAAACTTTTTAAGAAGCTTACTGAGATTTGCAGAAGCTTCTACTAATGCTCTCACTGCGGATGTTCTTGCTTTTTCCTCTGCAGCTTCCTTGTCTTCTGCCTCTTTTTCAACTATACCATCATTATAGGATAGGAATATTTCAGCTCCACTATAATCTTATGACATCGCTGAGGTATATGAGGGCTGCCACTCACCAAAATGTGATTATTCAGTGGGCCTAGTACACAGAAGGAACTGGAACAACTCACAATAATAACCTGTTTTTAAGATATGCAGATTTTCTGAATAGCCATTTCTCCAAAGAGGAGTTTCAAATGGACAAGCGTTACATGAAAACAATATTCAATATCACAAATCAGAGGAATGCAATAGGAAACCACAGTGAGATATGGCCTCAGCCTTTCAGAATAGCTGTTATCTTTAAAAAGCCCACATGGCCAGAACGTGGATAGACTGAAACCCTATTCACCACTGGTAGGAAAGGAAAATGGTGCAACTGATATAGAAAATAATGGCTATGGATGTTCCTCAAATAACTGAAAATAGATGTACTCTGTGATCCACCCATCTTACTACTGGGGATTAAATTTCCAAAAACTAAAATCAGTTTGTTAAAGAGCTATCTGCACCTCCATGCTCACTGTAGCACTTTTCACAGCAGCCAGGGTAAACACTCATCCCACGTAACCATGCACAGATGAATAAGAAATGTGGTATACAGACACAATGGAATACTATTCGACCTTTAAAAAAGGAAATCCTGCGATTTGTGACAGCATGGATGAGCCCAGAGGACATAATTTCCGGTGAAATAAGTCAGGAAGAGAGACACCTACTGCATGGCCTCACATACGTAGAATCTAAAAGAGTTGAACATATGGAGGCAGAGAGGAGCGGCTTACAGTACTGAGGGCTGGGAGGGGAAGCTTGCACATATGTTGGTCAAAGGTTGCCGTATCTGAGTTATAAAGAGTAAGTTCCAGAGCTTTGCTGTACAACATGGTGACTACAGCTACATACTTGAACATTGCTGAGAGTAGATTTTAACTATTTTCACAAAAAATATGTGAGACAGTGCCTACATTAATTAGCTCAACTTGTCCACTCTACAATGGATACTTAATTCAAAACATCATACTGTACATGTCCAATTCATATAATTTATGGCAGTTTAAAAATAAATGAGGAGAAGGTGTTTAAAAGAGTAATTAATGGAAATGAAATGATTAATTTAAAAAAAGACTGGCTCCCATACCCTCCCCAGATATACTGAGTAGGCTTCAGTGTTGAAGGTCTCCTGGTGCGTGGTCTCTTACTCTGCACTGTCAACATTACCTGAGAGCCTTTTTAAAAAGGTGGATTCCTGGGTTCCACTTCTGGCTCTTGGAATCAGAATGTGCATATGTGAGTTGAGGAGGGCCCACGTGTGTTTTAGCAAATTCTCAGGGTGATCTGGACACACCCTGTGGATTGAGAACAAGTAGTCTAGAAAGCCCTTCCTTACCAAAGCCCTTCCAGTGACCTCTTGGTCCTTTACAACTTGCCCTTTGGCCATCTAACTTCAAATTCATCTTGAATAAGTAAGTAGTAAAAAAAAAGAGGAAAGAAATCAATCCATTTTCTTCCCAATCAGATTTATGCTAAAGATTTTGGAGGAGGCCACATAATTAGAGTGAGATATATAGGATTATCGATGGATTACAGTTCTCCATGAAATGCATTTCCTCTATTACCATGGTTAATTAGGAATAGACCATAAAAGCATCCCTCTAGAAAAGCTATTAGAAAACATAATGTAATGTTGTCATGTGCAATAGAGAATGACATACAGTATATCCAGAAAATGAAGACTGTTCATTCCCTGAGATTTGGAAGTATACTCCAGCACAAATCCTCTTAAATCGCTAGAGGGGGATTTTATTTTATATTCTCTTAAGCTTTGCAACTTCTTCTTAATTCTGAAGAATTTAGCAGGAGTAGTAGGCATGAACAGAAGTTAGAAATTATAGTCATCTTCTCCTCATTAACCTTAATCTATGAACATGGGTTTTTATGCACGGAAGAAGAAGAAAAAGGAAAAGTTTGTGAGAAATTGCAAGTAAAATTGTAAAATTATGTAACATTCTGTTTCTGCTTGGATATCTGAAAGACAGGTCACATTTTATTTCAGGAAATTGGACTCTGCTGGAAAAGATGACTACATGCCAAAAACACACGCTGCTCAAATAACGACAGTGTAATTTTAACATTCTCACAAAAGCTATAAATGTTCTACCTCAAGGTAAACATTTTAATTAGCCTGAAAAGTTATTTTTCTTAACACTACCAGCAACTTTGCCTACCACCTCCTCTCCAGACAGGCTAAAAGATGCCAAATAGAAGGAGTAAGGTCAGAAGGACCAGTTCGTGTAAAACATGACCGATGAAATACCAGGCAGAAACTAGCCTATAGAAGCCAAAAAAAAAAAAAAAAAGAAAGAAAGAAAGAAAGAAAGAAAAGAAAAGAAAAGAAAAAAGAGAAAAAATTGTCCTTGGAAGTGCAAGCACTTCTGCAGAACAATTAACTTAATTAACCAGACACCATGAATATTCATAAGGCTGTTAATGTCTCCCACATCCAAACAGATAAATGTGATGTAATGACTTCCTAGTCAAGCATATCTAAAATTCTCATGAAAACGGCACCAACACTTTGGTTCCTTGCCTGAAATATCATAGAAATTAACAGTCCCTTGGCAATATTTTATTCTCCTCAAATTAATTGGAAAGCATGGATTTATTTATGCAAACGCTATAGGAATATATGGTTCACAGCCATCAGTATGTGGATGGAGCCTTGTTTTACAACAACTGGATTGCTTTTTTATTTTTATGTCCTCTCAGCCTTTTTCCTGTTTACCCCCTTCCCACTTTTAATAGGAATCTTTCTGTATAGTTCCTTACCACCCGTTCCCATAGCAACAAACACCATTCCTAATGGCCAGCAGTTCAAATGCAGGCTTCCCCACATCTGATCCATTTGAGTCTGTCCATAATTCAGTGGCTTAGTGTGTTGGCTCAGTGGAATAATTTACTCAACACTCTCCCTCTGGGTGTCTCTCTCCAGGAGGCAAATGGTTTCAAAGGCAGACTGTCTCCTCATGTTCAGCTCGGAAACTTCCTGCCTAGCTCTTGTTCCTACTCTCCATCAAAAGCCATGATTGGGCATAACGTCTTCATATTAAATACAGCCCACATAGGACTTTCTCCTCCTATTAGGTAAAATTAGGAAGTGGAACTCCTATCTACAGACCAGAGTTTTGACAGCATTCTGTATCTTTTAAACAGAAAGCATTACAGTGGCATTTCAAAAAATACCCACTGTATTCAAGGGATAGTGTCAAAAATCAGAAATATGCTTTAAAATATAAAAAAAAGAACTATTTCTTTATAAAATCAGAGTTACATATTTCAAACATGAGCATAAACTACCAGTTTTGGTAGCCAACTACCCACTTGATGTCAAATTTCTACTTTTTTGGGCACCCCTCTTCACCTCTCAGTTAACAAACAAGATCAGGAATTTAAGTGCTAATGAAGAGAAAAAATGACCTGAGTGTAGTACATCCATTCTGTATGGAGGGAAATGCTGGAAATGTTCCACCAAGTCGAATCAGAACTACTAAAATCACATGCAAAGGTCCAAAAACTAAAAGGGCCTGACAAGATGCCCCCAAATACATCTTTCTTCTTCGAGTTGAGGTTATTTTGTTATCTTCTGCATAGAAACAATTATAGATCTTTCTATGTATGCCTTGCAATTATCAGTATATATCCTACTATCTCTTTCTTTTTAAGTTCTTACATTTACAAAAGGCTTTATACTCTAAGAACACATTTGGATGTCTTATATTCTTTGTCAGTTTAACAGCAAAATTAAATATAATGAAGTCCACACTAAATGTATATGTTTATCAAATAGACTGAATTTTCTTTCAACCATGTCCATTAATTTTTATTTTCATGTGAGAAATCTTTTCCACTTTTGTTTTAGCAATAATGTGTGACATTTTAAACATAAAAATAATTTCCTAAATTATTATTTACTTAAGTAAAGGGCGAGCAGATTATATAAACAAACTTGAAAAATGGTTCTCTCCTTTTCTGAACAGCAGTCTTGCTGTAACCATTCTGTATCTTGTTGCAAACTGAGTCCCCCTAGAACAACTCCCTCAGGTTGCTCCCTTAATAGGAAACACCCCCTTGTTCCACTGCTTCTCAAATATAATTCAGCCCCTTCCTGTGGCCCGCAGGAACATCCACAGTCTGGCCTATCTGACACCATCATCTCCCACCCAATGGCTTCCTTCTGTTCCTCAAACACACTTAGGATTTTCCCTTTGCCTTTATTATTTTTGCAGCTTAGAAGGTAACTCACTTTCATCTTTCCTGGCCTAACCCTACTGATTTTAGGCCTGATTCTCGTGTTATTTATTCTAGAGTCTTTTTAAAATTCATTCATGTAATCCATTCTATTGTGTACTTTCATGTTCAGCTTGGAAACTTCCTATCTCTTATTCCTATTCTCCATCAAAAGCCCTGAGGAGGCCTAACATCCTCATATTGAATACAATCCACATATGCCTCTCTCCTGTTAGATGGGATCCGTAAGCTGGAACTCTTAGCTAGTGGCCCTGTATACTCACTGGATCGTGGTCTCCTTCAGGAACCAGAAATGCAGCAGTGGATATAAAGGTAATAAGCCTGTTCCTGAAGGAGGTCATCCTCTAAGGCCCAGGTCCTCTCTCCAGTCAGAAGGAATCTCCTGGTATTCTTAATGTTATCTGTTTCTGCTTCAATTATGTGACTTCCACATTTTCCCTCATATGAAATAAGAACAGCTTGACCAGAGTGGCCTTGTTTTGCAACTTTCTGTCTGGTACCATGTGACCTATATACTTTTTGATGAAAGATAGGATAATAATCTATAGGTTGTTTAAATTATGTATTTAAACACTTTGTCTATACCAATTTAGCACTACAACAAATTTGTAACAAAGTGAATATTATGGGTTATCCTTACATTACAGATCATAACATTGCTTGTTCAGAGTCTTGCATTTGCTTGTAAAGGGGCCCGAAGTCAAGTTTGGATCTTCCAGACCCAAAGTGCATACATTTAACTTGGGTCATGCTGTCGAGGCTAGCAAGCAAGAAAGGGAAGGGTGGAGGAGGGTCAGCTAAACACATGTGTGGGCACCCTTGCCTGCTGGTATTAAGCCGAGGGGTAGCTGTGCTCTGACTGGAGCGAAGACCTGGTCTGTTTCCATCCCGGCATTCTCCTGGGCTCGGAGAAGTAAACCATGGGCTACTTCGCTAGCAGATCCATCTCCACCAACACAGACAACACTAGAGAGAAGAAATCAAGTGAAAGAAGATAAGATTTCAAAAGAATTCTTAATTATTCACAAAATCTAGATTTTGAATTAGTAAATTTTTATGTGCAGGATTACTCATATACAACTTCAAATATTTTAGTATGTGTCAGTAGTTAAGAAGACATAACCACTGTACAGAGAGAAATGTTACCTCTATAAAAGCAACACCTAGGTAATACCCACAGATGAAATATCTTAAACAAATTGAGACATTAAAGCAATTGAGTATGAATTCATATTTAACCTGTATTTGCCTGTTAACATCCCAAAGCATATCATTCTCACTGTGTTTGTTAATAATACTGCCATCTGCAATTTATTAACACACAAAAGTAATAAAATTCACTAATTCTCAATAAAATTCTGAAAAGACAGCAATAAAAATCAAGTAAAATAGGAGGTTGCCACATAGGGAACTGCTAATCATCATTAGTACATGGACGGAGTCATTGCAAACATGACCTGGTTTTCTTCTCTGTGACATTACTGCTGCATGCCACTTCTCAATTTAGCATCAGTCCCCTTTGATCACACACCATTTTTCTAGTATTTTTGAGACCTACTGGTCAATAGTATTTGGAGGAGAGGGATCCATAAAAATGGTACCTAAAATTTACAAAACTTTCTCATAATCATTTGCATCTGAAAGCTGCAAAATAATCCTTACTATCAATCTGTCATCAATTTATCCAAAAGGAAGAGGATTTTGTGTGATAGCAAGTAGGTGTTGCAACGCAAGGTCTACAAAGGCCCAGCAGGAATATAACAGCGTGCTTAGTCTGAAGGCGTATGGCTTCTCAGCTACAGCCCACTCATACCATGTGGGAAGCCTAGAAAAGTAGATCTGATTTTTCTAGAAAAACCAGATTGGATTTTAGGGTGAATCTCCTAATTTAGAAATACTAGCACCCAGCATTCATTATACCTTTAAAAACCATGCGTCAAACCAAACTGCCTATGGTCTCTCACCAGCGAGGGCTAGTTGTTTCCTAACAAGTTTATGGTGGAGCAGAGGCTGAACACCTCTTTTCCATCAGTGCCTTCCAACTTCCTCTAAGGCTTCCTGCCCTTCCACCTCACTGAGGTTAGGACCTTTGTTTCTCCGCATAGCCGAGACAATCCATGTCCACTCTGGTTAGAAGAGAGATCCAGGTCATGTTTGGGTTAGGGGACTTATTACTTGTATCTGACCTGATTCCAGGGGTTCACCATGTGCTGACTGATTTAGAGAAACAAGACAGCGTCTAATGAGGACAAATTACATGTCATACACCATGTTTGATTTGAACGTTGTCTGTGTAACTTCAAAAGTCTCCAGGAGATTTCCAAAAATTCTATGAACTTATTTATAAATGCTCATCTATACTTCTGTACAAGCTGACATTTGTGTCTGATCAAAAGGGCCATGTAAAGGCATCCAAAATGCATCTTGTTTAGAGCAAAGAACTTTACTCTTAGGTATATCGGATGGCAGCACTTGACTCTTGGATTCTGCATGCAGTTATAGCATCCTGCATGTGTTAGCACATCACTAGAGTTAGTAGACATGTTCTATGCACAATCTCTGCTGCAAAACCTTTGAAATCTTGTTAAATCTTTTGAAACCAATACAAAGGACATAACAAGATAGTAACATTCAGTGAATGTTACTATGCTTTCAGGCACTGTCCTCCCCACATTCCTCGTAATCTAACCCAATGAAAATAGCCTTATGAGGGGCCTGAGGATTTAGCTCAGTGGCACAGCACCTGCCTGGCAAGCACAAGGTCATGAGTTTGATTCCTGGTACCGGAGGAAAGAAAAAAAAAGAAAATAGTTTTATGAGAATTTTACTTTAAATACCAGTTTGAAAACCAGCATAACCAACATGAAATTGAATGCAGTAGGACAAATACATTTATGTCAACAACTAGATAGATCATTAAGATTATGCCCAGAGATAGTTAACCTAAGAACTATACTTAATATTAAACATCACAAGAGGTTAGGCACTGCAAGAATGGCAAAAACTGAAACAAACAAATTGAGCTGTTCTGAGTTAATTTAGCCAAACTTGAGATTTATTCTAAAATTTTTTCTACATCGTGCTGTCTCCCTAGTGTAAAAAAGTGAAAGAGTAAATAAGGCCCAAAAGGTACAACAGATATTGTGAAAGGGAAAGAAACTGTTCAAAAGGAAAGAAGAACTGGGATGGGGAAAGGAGAAAAGATAAATAAATAAATAAACAAACAAACACAAGCTAGCTAAGATAACTATACTACTAATTTCTATTAGTTTATTGAAAGGAACAGTTAATGCTTATATTGTTTGATTAGTTTTGCATGCCTGTATCTGGTAATCTGAGCAACTACTTTAAAGATGATAATACGCAATATAGTAACTATTATTAATTTCCTATCATCTTGTTTTGAAATTCTGCATCATTTTTATTGTTTTTTTCTCTTTAAAATAAAAAAGATTTATTCTAAAACATAAACCTTAGAATAACTAGTCTTTTGCATGTGGTAAATAATTACAATTTTCAGAAAAAGTAAGCTCCTTCTTGCTGTGGCCCCAAGCAGAATGATTTTGCTAGAAAAGCAAAACTGGAGCCAGGTATTTCATTTCCTTTTCTAAAAGCAAGAAAAATAAGTGGCTGTTTGTTTATTTGTCTGCTAGCCAGTACACTCTTTGAAATGTTGACTATGTTTTTGGCTTTTTCATGCAGTGTTTTTCTCTTTCAGAAAGGAGATTTTGGGGCTGGGGATTTAGCTCAGCGGCAAAAGC